TAAAATGCATTTACGCGCGGTGTGCGGTGCGCACTTGTTTATTGCTGCTGTTTTGTTGTTATTTCGATTTGTTGCCAACCATGTCAGACATGTGCCGGTGTGTATGTGTGTGTCCATATATTCATTGCACACATCATTTTGAATTGGTTGTTTCGTTCACGTCAAGCCATTCTTCCACCGAACCAGCCAGGCGGTGGGTTTCGGGCCATTTTCATCGTCATGTTATTTCCATTTTGTCTGTTTTTGTGCCGGTCTCTATCGCACCCGATTTATCCGAAAACAGCGAGCGTGCTAAAAATGAAAGTGATTTATAGTGAATCACATTTTTGTTCGTCAACGAACTTGGAACTCACAATTTATCTCTCTTTCTCTCTCTCTCGCTCTCTCGTTCACTCGTTCGTTCGTGCGCTTGTTTTTAACTGATAATTAATTTTGATATAGAGCACGATTTGTAGATCCGATTTCTGTGTGTGTATGCTTTAAGCCGACTTGACTTGTTTGCATACGATTTGAACATTGTCGTTGATTTGGTCGTTTTTTTCGGCCACGACGATGACGACAACAACGAAGGCAACTCACTGATTGTGACATGGAAATCCATGTCAAAAGTGAAAACTAAATGAAGCGATTAAACATGGGCTTTTTAGAAGCTAGACCGAGAGATCTTATCGAAATAAATGAAAAGATAAACAACATGTGACAACACACACACACTCATTTTACACCTTAATATTCCATTAAATGGCTCTGATTTATGACTATCGCAATTCTTCCATCACCGCACATCAGCAAACTACTCTATATTTTTCGTTTTAATTTTTATGAAGCCCAATTGTTGACACACTCAAACTAATCTCATACGGTTTGGCTATCGCGCATCTCTATGCACATCTTTCGTACGCTGCCGCACGTCATGCTATTACGATCGCCATCGCCGTCGCTACTACAGTCGGTTGATGATGCTTCTTTTTTTTGTTTGTCGCTCCTTCTTCTTCTTCCATCAAACGTGTGTACATATTCGGATTCGGTTCGTGTATACAGTCAACTGCCCCGTATATAATTATCCAATTTAATACAACTGAAATTTCCTTTCATTTAAGCTAAACTTTTATTTGCATTAATTCTCTTTAATCATTGTGTATTTTTCTCGCATTTTTACGACATCTGATTGTTACTAAATATCTGTTGCAGAAAAAATGAATGATAAATAAACAAATAAATCCGAAAAAAATCCGACATTCCGTTTATCAAGGTCGAACACAAAAACGGTGACAACATTTTTATTTCTCTCTATGATAAATGTCATCACATTTTAACTCTGTTTTTTTTTTTTCGAATGCAAACAAATGCCACGAACGAGATTTATGCCAAAATCATATCGAATTCATGCAAAAATGAACAATGGTCAAAATTTCAAAGTTTTGCTCAGTTTTTTTTGTCTTTTTTTTTGGTCGTTCTCCATTTGACTCCAATTTTATGCGATTTTTTTCTGTTTGGATCGAAGAAAATGTGTCACATCAAAATGACGACACGAACAAATCAAAATTCAAAGAATTTATATCAACTTCATTTACATATTTGGATATCAATTGAAGTACCCAAAATTATCGTCGTAAAACGTTAAATAGTTGAATTCGGCTCTTTTGCGCTTCAAAGTTTGTCCAAAAATTGAATCTTATTCTGAACGAAACGAGTTAAAGTGATCGAGATGGTAATTGTTAATAGATAGATAGGAGAGAGTTAGGAGAGAGGCGAAGGTGAGGAGAGAGAGAGAGAGAGAGAGAGAGAGATAGAAAAAGAAAGAAAAAAGAGCAGTGGAAAGACAAAGTGCAAGTAAATATTTGTGCATGTCGATCAGTCCATAGTGTGCAAACAGTAATCGTTTCTCTGAAAGGTCAATGTTAAATCCATTATAATTACTCATTGGCTGGTTTCAAGTGTCCAGTGTTCGACGTTGATCGATTTTGATCGACTGCTGTTATTCAATTGAAATTTCTTTTCTATTCTTAGCTTTCCTTCTTCTTTCTCTTTCTTTTCTACTTATTTGTCTTCCCTTTCTATCTTTTCATTTTTTCCCTTTTCGTCTCCATTCTTGTCGATTCTCCATATTTCTTTGATTCAATTACCGAGTGATTGAATCACTGACACTTGCATCTTCCAAGTACATTGTTCGTGTTTGTTTGTCCTCATATCATTCAAGTCAATATTTTTGTGCGATTGCACATTTTGTTTGGCATGTTTTATTCATCGGTGCGGCGACGATGGCGGCGGAAGTGATGAATGGCTATGCTATTTGTGTTGTTAAGTTGTTTGCGTGTTTTATTGCTCACTTCTTTTTTCTAACGGTCGTCACACACTAGAAGAATCCAAAAAAAGACGACGTGCGGTTGACGAAAGAAGCGAAAAATAAAGCATGTGAGTAATTGTGACTTCCTATGAAACCATTTGTCACAATTTCAACTAACAAAAAGACACCGTTTTTGAAGATCGCTCGTATTGAAAATCACGCGTTGTTGATCTTCGTTCGTTCAAACTTTTTGTTGGAATAGTTATCATTCGTAAACAGAATCGAGGGGGGTTGTTGAACGCATATCAATTGACAGTTTCATTCGAAGCAGATTTAATTTGAAATGGACGAGAAAGCGTTAGGAGAGTGGAAGAGAGAGAAAGGAAGAGATAGAAAGAGGTAGAGAAAGAGTGCGAGTGAGAAGAATCCTACATTGAAAGTCATCTTCATGTTGACACAGTCATTTTAATTCAAAACACATTCATCAAACGCAATAGAATCACTTGAAAGCCCCATATTCTACGACGAAACTCTTATGTTCTACTTGTCAAACTGGTTGAGCGTCGTCGTTGACGATCGAAAATGAAGTTTTGATGAAAGAATCATCACTTTTTGCTCTCTCTCTCTCTCTGGCTGATCGAAAAGTGAAAACAAATGTGTTAAAGTTGTCATTATGTAAGGAACACTTTTGCATCGAGATGATTCACGGCACATTTAGCTATTATAAAGCTAGCATGAAAAAGGTGGCAAACGAAAAGAAAACAATTGATTCCGTAATGAAGGCGGCCGAAAAAATTCGCAACAGCGGCGGCTGCGATGACAACGACATCCGCGCCACACGCACAAAAAAAACGAAATTTCAATGTCAATGCCAATTTGTTGACTGATTCGATGTTAGAGCGTTTGACAAGCGCGAGATTTACCGTTAATTTGATCATTCGTCTCGCAAAATATTCAATTGATTAATTAAAATTGGTCGGGCGAAGAAAAAAAAAGCCCAACGGCAGGAGAACCGAAAATACATTTATTCGCGATGTGATTGTTGTCTCGCAATGTTGCAGCCTACGACAAAACTGTCGCTGTCATTTGTTTGCTTGCTTGGCTCGACAAAAAAAAACAAATCAAACGAACAGAAAAAAAACCGAAACAAATCGGAGCTGGTTTTCATTTGACACCGTTTATTTTGTATGCTGCATTCACCGACCGATTCGATTGTAGAGAAGAAGAAGAAGAAGAAGAAAAAAGCCATAAATTATTTCATGATTTTTTTTTCGTGCTAAATCGCGCGCGCTTGTACTCCATTCATAGAATTGGTTGGTATTTTTTTTCGTATGCGTCATTTCGTATTTTTCATTTCTCATTACATAAAAACAACCGTGTACCGCGAGATGCTGAGGCAGGGCCAGTGTATTGAGTGCGCAAATGCGCGATATTGACACCGGTTGCGTAAATATGCAAAAAAAAACTTTCTCCTCGCCGAATCGATTGTGTCTGGGGCGCGAGCGCGTCCGTGTGCGGCGCACTTGTTGGTCATTTTAAGTCTAATTTCGATTGTGAGTAATGCGCCATTCATTCCATCCGATTCGCAATCGCGCACAATTTCGAACAAGTGCCGGGCTGTGCAAACCCGATTTTTTTCGCTGCGGTTTTGTCTATTGATTCGAGAAATCCACATTCTCTTTAGCGGTTTTGATGGCTGGTGTGCGTGCGCGCTGCGCGCGCACTCCTTTTATATGATTCTTCTAATATTTCCATGATATATGCCGAAAAACCTACATTTTGTGGCTGAGGCTGGCGTGCACGCTCGCACAGAACCGGGCACAAATTACCATTTCAGTTGGAAATAACGTGCGGCCCAAATGCTTCTTCTCTCTGGGCTGGTTGGTGTTTGCGCGATTGCGATCGAATGCGCGCGCCCACGTTGCACAAAAACTTGTTAATTTGTCGCGATCTCAATTTTACGTGCCACCATCACCGTCGTCGTCGTTGTTGTGCTAGGTAATTTTCAACTAATTGGATTTTTCTCTATCGCTCTTGGTCGATATTTGACCGTTATCTTTGCCGCCACGGTGACTCTCGCTGAAAATCAAGTTCGCCATTATCAATTGGGTGAGCTTTGCACAAGCGCACTCGTTCGAGTACCGATCAACTCAAACACCAAATTCTTAGAGCGTCTCGTCTAATAATAATTGATGGCCTTTCCAATATATGCATTAAAAACGATTATTATTTGCAATTAATTTTCACCAACGAATGAATGCTAAGCGCAGTTTTAGGTACATTTTTAATGTATGGTGTTTTGTTTTAATCGATTTTTCCAATGCATAAACTTGTACATCGAGCGGGCGACCGAGAGAGAGAGAGAGAGAGAGAGAGATGTTAGAGATTCATATCGATAATAATGTTGTTGGCCAATGTCAAATGGGGCATTTTACCATTCTTGATCAACCTTTTACAACCAATTTTTACTCACTCGCTCACTCACTTACTAACACACACACACACACACACGGCAAAACACGAAAATAAACGGGGCTATAAATCGTTTCGATCGAAAAATCAGTTCAACATAAAAGACAAGCACAAGATTAAATGGTTTGCATGAAAATCGATTTAAAATCAACCGTAATGTAAACATGATTATTTTCTTTTAAAAAGCTAAAACTCTCGAATATTAATTTGTTTTCTTCTCTTCACCTTTTCCAATTTATAGATAATTTTCCCGAGAGCGACTAATTCGTTGTCATTTGGTGCGTGTGTGCGAGAGAATACGAAAACAAATATAAAAAAAAAATGAAAGTGCGTTTAGAGTATGTGTCGTTCTATCTATTGATCGGTATACTATTGCCGGCAATTGGATTGGGCGATGCATTCACCTGTCCGGACAATTGTTCATGCTCGGAAATTCAGCGTAAGCGTTACAATTACAATCATGCCAAATGCACATCGCTGGACGGTCTACGGCAATTGGGCAAAACATCGGAATTGCATTCGTTGGATTTGTCATCGATGAATTTAACCAAAATCAATAATCAATTGGACAAATTATCGAATTTATCGAAATTGGATTTGAGCGATAATCATTTGTCGGAGATAAGTAATTTGCATCAGCGACGTATACGTGTGTTGAATATCAGCGGTAATCGTATAACGTCGGGGAAATTGGCGAAAATCCCATGGACGGTGAAACATTTGAATTTGTCACACAATGACATCACCATTTTGCCGGAAATGTTTAAGCGTTTTGTGCACTTGAAATCACTGGAATTGGCCGATAACCCGTTGAATTGTACGTGCGAAACGTTGGAAATACGAAATTGGTTGCAAGAACGTCAGGTGTATACGGAGAAAGCGATTCGATGCATGGCACCGTTACAATTCAAAGGTCGTTCATGGTTACAAATTCGCCAGTCAGAAGTGTGCGATCCAAATGGATTGGAACCACCACGAATGCTACCATTTTCCGATGGTACGGACGATGAGAATGATTTAATGTTGGGCGATGATCCAAATGCTGGCTTTGAAAATGGATTTGAGGGTGAATATTTACCCGTTTCGGCAAATCAACGCACAAAACGAACCGATGCGACCGCCGACAGCGAAGAAGATTATATCAATGATGATGATAACAATGACGAAGGTTCGGGCAGTGAACCAGAGGAAATGGTGACAAAAAGCGATAGTACAACTGAAGCGTATGAAGGTTCTGGTGATGATGGTGAAATTACCTCACAACTACCAAATACCGATGATGATGCGGCCAGCAATGAAACACTCTCTGGTGAAAATGACAAGACATCGGAAGATACCACCGATATCGGACCGTCGAGTCTTAATAGCCGAGAAAATACCAGTGCCGAAACATTGAATGAAAGTGAAACCTTGGCTCCGGTCACCGAAGAGATCATCGTACCAGTGAAAAGTGCCACCAATGATGCCGAATTCATTGAAACGCCAGATGGAACAGCGGCGGCCACGAGAAAACAACCCAAACAAAGTGATGCCACAAAAATTGAAAATGATGAAGTACACGAAAGCAACAGCACATATATTCTGCTAGCCATTTTGGGCGTTTTGTTAGTTGTCCTGATTTTGTATGTGGCCACCAAGCGTAGCCGAACCAATACGAAAAATCGCCGAAATAACAATGACATCGAAAGTCCAGCACAGGAACTGAAGAACATGGACAAAAATAATTTGGGCAAACCAATTCAAAATCCAGTCGAATTTATACCGTTAATACCGGAAAAACATGATCCAGAACGCAAAACGAATTTGTGCAACGGTGAAGAGCCGCTGCTACAGAAATTGACCGAAGTCGAAAATGAAAATGAGACGACGGACGATGGCAAACAAAAGGCTGCTGCAGATGACAAACAACCGGCCAATGGAAATGCACAACAATTGAATGGCAACGCAAAACCCGTACAAAATGGCGTTCACCCTGGCAATGATGATAATGCAGCAAACGATCCACAATTCCAACCCATCTCACCGAAACCATCCAGATACAGTCCGGTAAGCAAGTTTTTGGTTATTTTCCCTATAGACTTGACGAATTTGATGATATCGCAACCAACGATATCTATCTACATCGATTTTTGAAATATCATGCACATAGTCGCATCGTAACCCGGCGAAATTAATTTCGTTTCGTAGCCATCAATTTTAGTGTAGCCTTTCAACGCTATATTAATTGAATAGTGGGCTTTTTTCCACTTTGCTTTTGACTGTTTCGACTGATGATATGTTTATATTCCTTTTTGGCAACTGTCGATATTGTTATTTTGATATTATTGAACAGTTCGACGGAGTACAAAAATAGTAAATTACAGACAAAAGAGAAAATATTCCGAGACAACCCAAGCAATTATCATGTCTGAAATTAACTTGTCGTTTTTTGCACTTTATTTCTAGGTATATTCACATGATACTGGCCGTGTCAAGATCAAACTAAGCGAAACCAGCCGACCAAAAACTCCGATTCTCGTGACCCGATCAAGATCAAATGCTGGCGACAATAAATTCGACAACACAATCAGTCAATAGCGCGACGAGTAACGGCGCGTTTGTTGTTTGAGTAGAGATTTTCAACTGTGTAAAAAAAATGAGGAGAACGAAATAGGAGGAAATGAGAAAATGGAGAAGAACATGAACGACGAAATAGAAAAAAAAAATATGAGAAATGAAATGGAAAAAGGAATGAATTAGAAAAACTGATCAAAAGTGAGACGATTTCAAAGAAACAATATGAAATTGATTTAACAACAATAATAATAACATAAAAAGAAGAATTACCAGCAAAATGCAAATTTCATGCAAATTCTCAAACATTCATTCGGAATTGGGAGGAAATCGCTGAAAAACAAATTGAATTCATGTCGCAATGTATGAATGTGTGTGTGTGTGTGTGTGTGTGTGTGCATGTGGTTGCGAGTGCATGGGTGCGAATGACAAAAATGTAAAATTTGCAGCTAAAATATACGAATCGAAAAGAACATCACGTCAATTAAGCATAATTATTTTAAAAAATGAACAACCTCTTTATTTTCTCTAGAACCTATATAACAACAACAACAACAACATGAAATTAGGCTAATAAATGCGTAGTAAGAATTCTTTTGGGCAATTTTCAATCCGTTTTTTTTTGTTTTGCTTGTTTTTTCGTTGACACTCATCGAACTCACACCATATTTTATGTTATTTGTTAGGTGTATTTGAACATCTAGGGACGTTCATCCCTTACGAAGGAGAGAGACTAGGGACGTTTATCTCCTAAGAAGGATAAAAAGCATGAGATAAATGCACTTAGATCAAAATGAGACCAACATTTCGGCGGAATAATCAATCAAATTTCAAGTTCCGAAGAATTTGGTGGAATAATCCGAAATGTTCGGCCGAATTGATAAATAACACATTTTGCTTAGAAATTAATTGCCACAATTAAGACATTTAAAACGAAAAAAAGACACATGATTTTTTAATGCAAAAATGCAATTTTTTCCTCGAATAAAAAAAAAAACGTCAACAAGAAGACGTCATTGAAGACGCCAATTTTATTTCATAAGTGAATGATAAAAAGAAAGTAACAAATTTCATACATTTTAACCTTGGTTTTCTTTCAAAATTCAATTTATCGAATGTAATTTTTGCACTAGGTGTATTGAATCATTATGATAAGCCGAACATTTCAATGGGATTCTGTGTGTTTGTGTAATTTATCGTCATTTAAATGGGTCAAATGAAGAAACAAAGAGAAAAAGAAGAAAATCCATTCATTTTCCAGTTGAAAATGAGAACACTTTAAATCCAGCCATCAGCCGCACTAATGAGTTTTTGTGTCATTTTGATCGCTCTTTTTACCGCTAATATTTACATAAAGCGAACAAGAAAAAAAAAACATTTGCAAACCAAAGACATGATCAAGTCGCCATCACAGTGATAACACTAATCATTTAAAAAAAAAGAAGAGGAACAAATGTTGCAATGAACAAATACGGCAAGGAACGAAACGAGAAGAATGAATGGCAAAAAAAATGTTCGTCGCATTTAGAGAGCAAAAAGAAAAAACGGGGGAAAAAAATCGAAGGAAAATAGTTAATGATTCGAAATTCGTTGATTTTAAAACAATAAATGATAAGAATTTCAAGCCGTTTCTCATCAAAATCACACATCATTTCTCCTCGTTTTTTTTTACCCGGCCAAAATTTTCTCTGCGACAAAGGAAAACAAAACAAGATTTTGAACAAATTCAACATTGCACTCGAGAGACGAACGTGAGAAAGGGAAAGAAAGAGAAAGAAAATTTCTTCTATATTCTTTTTTTTGTTTGCAAATACTTAAAGAAAAAAAAAGATGTTTTTTTGAATATTTTAGATTAATGAGAACTCGTTTAAGGTTTGATCCTATTATGCTTACGATTGTATTGAGTTTTTAATGTGTAAATTATTCATTCATAAAGAAAAAAGAGAAAGAGAGAGAGAGAATTAAGAGAAATATAATAAAAAATTTATAAATTAGAAAATATTTTGGGCTTTTTTAATTGAAGCAATGGAAGCGAAACGGAGACGTTTAGTTGAAGGTTTGCATTATCGTTTTTATTTGATAAAGCTGCATTCAATGCTGATGGAGTTAACTTTTCACGAGATGGCGCCATCAACAACCGGAGAATATTCAACCGAATATTTGTACTCGGTACCAACAGTTACCGACTCAAAGTCGAATTGAACTTTTTCGTATAATTCACAAACGAATTTCAAGCGTGCTTTTTGGTTTAACAGGAACTTTGCATTGAAACAAGCTCTGTTTCTTCTGAAATTTGAAGCGTTTTCAGGCTTTAATTAATTCAGGCTTCAGTTAACATAGCGAAATCGAGAATCTTGAGCAAAACACTTTAAACACTCAAAACGGAATTCCACAAAATTTTCCATATTTTTATCGCTTTTTCTTCACTTTCTGATCTAAAACGAGAACTTGTTTCTGTGTCGGCTTTATCGGCAATAGTTCTCTGACTTAAAGGTAATTTGTAACTAATCAACACGACGGGGAAATCACTCTAAAGTAATTTGTAGTCGAAAAAATAATAGAGAAGTATTCGAAAAGTAATCATGGAAATTTTTTTTTTGCCTCGATTACTTTTCGATTTTTGCACGTGGATTACTTTTCCATTATTTTTTCGACTACAAATTACTTTAGAGTGATTTCCCCCTAGAATCAACATTTTGCGTGAAGGTTGAAGTGGCCTATTTTATTACTTTTCATTTATGTTAGAATAAAACTTTTCGCGAGTTAAAAATAGACTAATGTTGTTGACATGATCTGGACCAAAAACCAGAACTGTTTATGTTCACCTTCATTCGTTGTTTTTTCAAATGTACAGTGCCGATCAAAAGTTTGAGTACGACTATAAAATCCATATTTC